GTGGGGGTGTGTGGGGTGGGGGTGGGAGGGGAGAGAGGGTGGGGCCAGCCCAAGTGGAACACAGACTGTGCAGCGCCCACGAGCTAGGCGCTGCACATTACATGTGTGGTGCCTAAGACTTAGGCGCTGCATAGGTGCGTGTGGGGCCGCAGCTGGACCAGGGCTGCCACGCTGGCAGCAAGTGTGGCGCCTAAGTGATGGGCGCTGCGCAGTAGGGTGCGACGCCCAGCTGTCGGGCGTCACACTGAAGGGTCAGCAGAGTGAAATTTTTTTGAAAGCAGGTCAGTTTGTGAATTGATTTCTGCCTCAGGTCAAATTTGTCATTTTTGCCATGTAAGGAGGACATGTCGATCCTGATCACCACCTACGAGGGTGTGCACAACCACCACCTCTCCGCCTCCGCCACCGCCATGGTATCCACCACTTCTGCCGCTGCGTCCATGCTCATGTCAGGCTCCTCCACCTCATTCGGCTTCCCCTCCGCTGCCTCCAGCCTCCACGACCTCAGGTTCGGCCTCCCAACGGCAACCACCGTCAACCCGTCCAACCAGCTGACCGGCCGTCCGTTCTTCCTCCCGGTAGCCGGCGGTGCGTCCATCAGCGCCACCCCGTCATACCCCACCATCACCCTCGACCTCACCTCACAGGCCGCCTCGCAACATGCCTTCTCCCTCAGCAATAGCAATAGGTTCTCCTCCAGCTTCACCGACTCTCACGGACACAACAACATCACTAGTAGGTACCCTTCCACGACCTTCTCCTTCTCTAGCTTCAACGCGAGTAGCCTACCCGGCGCCACCACTTGGCCATCAGGGGTTGGATCATACATGGGCTACGGATCCTCGTCTGACACGTCCTACAACGGCCCCAACAAGGGCACATTCAAAGCTGCACTGAGCAGCATCCTTGGAAGGCAACAAGGCTCGGCGACATCGCTCTACCAACTGGTGCATGTGCGACAGAGGGCAGCTGAGTTGAGCAGTGGTGGCACGGGCACGGCGGGGCCGATCGTGCTCACTGATACGATCGCTAAGGCGATTACGTCGAACCCGGGCTTCCACACAACACTTACAGCTGCCATCACATCGTACGTCGGCAAGCCGACAACAGGAGGTGAGAAGGGGCTCGAGTGGGGGGGGCACCTTGGGCTCGGGCCGCCGAGTGCGACGACTGCGGTGTGCTCGTCGGTGCTTCTGACACGGGTGTCTTCAACGGAAGCCACACAGAACGGTTCTCCAAATGGCAGGATGAGGTTGCAGCCGTCACTGGCACTATCGAGCTCCACAAGTGCTACGGCTTCGACGTCTCCCGTATGAAGAGCATGGAGCACATCAATTGGTCAGATGAAGGTTATGAGTTATGTTTGTGGATTAATTTGATCGTTTAGTGTAGATATATATTGACTGTAGCATAATTGCTGAAAATGTGTTGATTGATTCATCAATCACAGCCTAAACACACACCAAGATTTTGTGTTTTGTGACAAGCTATTTGCATTTGCCTAGAAAAAAATGGTGCAATGATCATACGAGACAAGTTGAAACTCTGATAAGAGAGTAACTGTTGACACCTGATTTTGGCAAGATACAGATTGCAATGAAGATGGTCTCGAGTGAACGGGATTTCAGCATGAAAATATTCACGTCGCTGAGTGGAACCACTTTGATGTTTCGGTTATATTCATTCGACTTTATCTTACGGACCGAAACTATACTCCGAGTGGCATAATTCAATGTTCTGAGTGGTTTTTGGCCAATCACGTCTTCAAGATGACCTCGGATGAAGGAGCACTCTTAAGGAATTGTCTACGTCTCGTCGAGGCAATCGATTTTGATATATAAATCATCTCAACCGACTTCATATGCAAAAGTTAGAGGCAATACACTGCAGACCGAACCTCAACGGAAATATGGCGCGAGGTGCCAAACACTTGTCTGATAGGTTGCGCGAGTAATTCGGTCATCAAGACGGCCTTGAATCGAAAAACCTTCAACACGAAATTTTTTTGTCTCGTCGAGCCGATCGTTTTTCATATAAAATTTGACTCAATCCAAGGTCGTATGCAACCTGGAGAGGAAAATCAAGATCAGGCTGTGTTTTCAGTCAAAAAATCCGAGTGAAAAGTTTACCATCCGAGTGAAAACCTACCGATCGAGTAAAAGGTCGAGTGAAAAACTTATCGATCGAGTAAAAGATTGGCTTCCGAGTGAAAATATAGTAATCCGAGTGAAATTATCATCCGAGTGAAGTTATTCCGAGTGAAAGATTACCATCGGAATGAAAACTTGACGTTCGAGTAAGATATTGCCTTTCGAGCGAAATATAGTCATCCGAGTGAAAGATTTTCTTCCGAGTGAAATTATAGTCATCCGAGTGAAAGACTGTCTTTCGAGTGAAAGACTCTAACATCCGAGTGAAAAGCTCCAGTCGGACGAAAAACTCTAATATCCGAGTGGATGAGCTCGGATCCGAGTGAAACTGAAGATGTGCCCGAAAGGTAATCCAGATGACCTCGGATGGAAAAGTGATCAACACGGAAGTTGTGCGCATCGTCAAAACGGTGAACTTTGGTTCTGGAGTCATTATCATATGAGATAGTATACGGCCTGTAAGTTCACTACGAGACTCAGACAATCCAGTCCGTTACATGACCGAGTCCGACTGGATATTAAAGATGGCTTCGTAGAATATTCAAGATGGTCTTATTTGGAAAAGTGTTCAACATAGGATTGTTCGTCTCGTCGAGGCGCACAAGTTTCATATTTGGGCCGTCTTGATCGGAGGTCATATGCAAGCTCGGCGGCCCGCGCAAGGAGGAAGACAGAAGTTGGGCTAGATTCAGACTGAATCCGAGTTGGAATAGAACTAGGACTCTAGGACGTGAATTGATGTAATTTTTTGTAAGGAAAGCCTAGATGAATCCTTTGCTTGTACGGGAAGTCCAGCTGCCTCTTATATATGTTGGGGATGATGGCCGATTGAACAACACACAATCGAACAAATCAATATACTACTTTTTCATCTATGTTTTATCTCTCCACCGTTTTTCTATCTCGTTCTTCGCTGTTCTTCGTGTTTGAGAGCTGCGAATCCCGAGGCTCTAGGGGCGAGCGAATCGACCTAGGGCAGCCCATAGCCGCCGCACTCCCTAATGGGGTCCCTCCCGGGGGTGTGGGGTTTTCGGGTCTGCAAAAGCGCCCGTCGACTGTCTTGCGTATTGCGCTGTCGGTTGGGTCTCCTTCGACGTGAGCTGCGGTGCATCACCCCCGGCGTCGAGGGTAGACATGACGTGTTCGTGTGTCAACACACTTTTTGGCAACACCGCTGGGGACTGAAGATCAATCATCATCATCCACCATGTCCGATCTTCCCAAGCCATCTGAGGTAGACGCCGATAACATCATTAAGCCCAGTCTTGATGAGATATCGGACGATCATTGTCAAGTCTATGAGGAGTACAAGAAGGCGCGCGAGGAGAAGGACCTGCAGGAGTTCCTTGCAAAATTCAAGAAAGATCGCCAAGGCAACATCACTCCGATTGAAGAAATCAAGTTCTCTCCTCTTCAAACTGAACAGGTTAAACCCTCTGTAAGTACTGCCTTTTCTCCTGAGCAGTGGGCTGAGATTGAAAGTCGTATTGCTAATGGTAACAATCTAGTCTATCAAACTTTTATATAAAATACTAATGCTCAGAAGAATATATCTCAATCGTCTAGTGGTAGTAATGGTGTAGCTGCTAGTGTGCAAAACCCTAATCTGGCTTTACCTATTGCATCGGCGCCTCCCGTGCCGATGACTTATTATCCTACCCAAACAAATCAGATTGTGGCTACACCCATTAATCCTATTATGAGCATGATAGGTTCGGTGGCAACGCCGAACCAAACTCTACCTACAGCTACAACCACTCGACCACTACCAAATTATGGGTCGACATACATGCCACAATTCCTACCTATAGCTAGTAACCATACTCTTCCTATGTCACTGCCACAAGCTTCATCGTCCACTACGGATGATGGTCTAGCTAATCTTAGAGAGGAGATGGATAAGATGCTTAGAGAGAATTTTGGAGTTGAGTTACCTCGGAATCGGTTTTACCAAAAGCCGTACCCCGAGTACTTTGATGCCATCCAGTGCCCTCCGGGATATAGGATTCCAGATTTTGTTAAGTTCAATGGAGAGGGCACAAAAACCACATGGGAGCATGTTAGTCAATACTTAGCACAACTAGGTGAAGCAGGCTCACTAAATGGGTTGAAAGTGCGTTTGTTTCCTTTGTCTTTAACTGGTACTGCATTTTCATGGTTTTCTTCTTTACCACATGGTTCCATTCGGGTTTGGTCGCAGTAGAGCAGAAATTTCATGATCACTTTTATAGCGGCGACAATGAACTCAAGTTATCACATCTAACATCGGTTAAACAGAAGCATGATGAATCAGTCTCCGATTACGTCAAGAGATTCAGAGAAACAAAAAACAGGTGTTTTAGTTTGGTGATAACCGAGAGAGACTTGGCAGACCTAGTGCTGAGTGGTTTGAAAACTCCCATTAGAGAAAAGCTAGAAGGTTATGAGTTCTTAAATATCAACCAAGTCTTACAAAGGGCTTTGGCTCAGGAAAGCAGAAGCAAAGATCTCAAAGAAGTGCATAGATACAAAGCCGATCGTCCAAAGATGAATATGGTGGAATATGATAGTGATCACTCGGACGATGAGGGTGATGTTTTTGCTACTGAATTTGTTTGGCCATCTAAGGCCAAACCCTTTACTTGCAATGATCTGAAACCGATTCATAAGAATCATGATGAAGAGATGAAGTTTACTTTTAACATTGCTAAGTGTGATAGAATATTTGATGCTTTGCTGCGGGCTAAGATTACTAGAATATCTCATACTTTACCACCGTTTGAAGAGCTAAAACGGCGTGGTTATTGCAAGTATCATAATTCTTTTTCTCATACTACTAACGATTGCAATGTTTTTCGACGACAGATACAATCGGCCATTAATGACGGACGATTGAACTTTTCTGAGATGCAAGTTGATAAACAACCTTTTCCAATGAATACCATGGATTTGGAGGGGAAGAAGCTACTCATTCGACCTGAGGTAGCCGAAACTGCTAATAAAGCTAATATCATTATTGGTGAGCCCAAGAAAGACAAGGAAGGCAGCACGGTCTTGGGGAGACATGTTGTGCTTGATAAGCAGCCCGATGGCAAGGAAGTAATAAAAATCACCATAAAGAATCCTACACTAGGGGGGCAACCGCAAGTGCAAGAAAATACTTGAGTTAAATTTGTCAAACCCAAGAGTCCAGAAGTTGGCAAGTGGA